ATCATTATTTTCATTCCACTTGTAAATAATTAAATGTTGCATATTAGAAACTACTATGTTAAGTTCATCCAAGTACACACAACGTAGCCATAATAAGCAACACAAATAGTTATTTAATTTTATTGGATTTTCAGAATCGCATATGACAAAACTTATGTATAATGGTTACTTGTATCTTTTCTTTCGTATAAAAGTTTTATTTTCCACCACGTATATGCCATTTCTGTAACCACGAACACGAACGTTTCATAACGTCGCTTGTCTTTTACAATGAATACACAAAACAATTGTCAGTGACTCGTCCGTAACATACTGCTCTGACCATACATTTGGTTTGCTGTTAGTCTCACACACTGAACTGCGCATGTTTGCCATGCAAAAAAATGAAATTGCGTGACTGCACTCCACGTTGATTCACTAGTCTCGAGAGTCGCAAAATCTGCAATAAACTTGTTCATTCGACGATATTTGTGAACACCAATGCAAACCTGAAACCTCTTTCTTCAAATATTCTCTTCGATGTGAAGCAATGCATTAACCGAATAATAATACCAACTCGGTATGGCAAATGGACTATTGTACACAAGTACATTTCTTATTTAGATTTTCTTTTATTGTAAGAAGTTTCGGGCCAAAACCATAGTTTTTTGGGTCAAATACAAGAACCGGTTGATAAATCTTTTGCTTGCTGGCGTTCGAATTTGGCACCTCCATCCTTAAAGCAAAAGTTTTACCAGTAAAATTAGCAGCTCCGGATACTTAGAGCATCGGTATTGTTCGGTCCTTGGCGAGTCCTTCGTCAAAAACAAGAAGGACCAAGGGGGAGAGAGGGAGAAAAGTCCCTAAACAAGGAACGTCCTTGTTCGGTCCTTTGCCTTGTTTGTGGGGCTCAGAACACGTGGCAACTTGCGATTCGTTCACTTTTAATTTTTTTTTTAAAATCAGAAAACAAAAAAAAAACAAAAAAAAAATATTAAGGACCCAAAATTGTCTTCCAATAAAGATGCCTTTAGATTTATGAAGATCTTTTTTCAATTATTGTTTTAAAACATGACTAACCCAGTTGGATGTAAATGTCTTAACTTCAGTTTTCAAGCATGACTCATAATGTTCAGTTGAAAGAAAAAATATTTCTCTTATTTTTCTATGATTTTTTTTGTCACAAACAAATGACTTTCTATAGTTTTATCATTCTTTCTGTCTAGTTCATTGAAAGACAATTTAATTTATTATTTTAAATATCAATATATAATGGAAATATAATTTAAATCAAATACATTTAAATTGATATCAACACATATTTTTTTATTCAGATATATGTTGACAAAAAGAATGATATAGTGAAATCATTTATTACTATATATGTAAAAGTATAAAATATATATTTAGTGAAGAAAATATCAATAAATCTGATCTTCATTAGTTGTCATTAAAACGTGGTCTAAAATCATTGGTTGAAACCAGGGATGATCATTACAAAATGAAGAATATTGATTGATGTCTACCATCTTTATCTTAACCATTAATTTTGTTTTGAATTCTTAAACGTTTCACTATTAAGCCCAAACATAAGGGGAATGTATACTCTCTGTATATTTACCACACACACTCTCATTTGTTACATGTGTTCCACACCCCTTTTTACACAAACAAAACAATTAAAAAACATCAACATTTTAAGACATACCAAGTAATAAACTAACACTTTTCCAAAGTACACAAGTTGAAGATAGGCACTATAATAATATCAACATCCACATAATCATATATGATTCATGAACCTCTTTCTCCTTCCTCCACTTATATATACCTCCTCTCACCCATTCTCTTCTGACACCACTCTCATATCCATCACACACAATTCAAGCAGTGAGAGCTTAAAGACAGAACACGAAAGATGCCTTGTCTCGAGAACTCTGTAACTGTAATCTCAACAAACAGAGTCTTCCCTGAGAAAAAGTCAACGCTCGCTGACCTCAAACTCTCTGTCTCCGATCTCCCCATGCTCTCTTGCCACTACATCCAGAAAGGCTGTCTCTTCACTCGTCCACCACTTCCTCAACAAGAGCTTCTCTCTCACCTCTCACACTCTCTCTCTCTAACCCTCTCCCACTTCCCTCCTCTCGCCGGCCGTCTCTCCACCTCCGAAGACGGCCACGTCTTCCTCTCCTGCAATGACGCCGGCGCGGACATCGTTTTCGCCGAGGCGAAGTCCGTCCACGTCAGCGACGTTCTCGCCGGAGTCGATGTCCCCGACGTCGTGAAGGAGTTTTTCGCCTACGACAGGACGGTGAGTTACGAGGGACATAACAGACCGATCCTAGCCGTTCAAGTGACTGAACTAAACGACGGCGTTTTCATAGGATGCTCCGTTAACCACGCTGTTGTTGACGGAACGTCGTTGTGGAATTTCGTTAATACGTTTGCTGAGGTGTCAAGAGGCGTTGGGGATGATGTGACACGTCATCCTGATTTCACGCGGGAGAATGTGCTAATCTCACCGGCTGTGCTGAAAGTGCCTAGAGGTGGGCCCAAGGTGACGTTCGACGAGAACGCGCCGTTACGCGAACGGATATTCAGTTTCAGCAGGGAGCAGATTCTCGAGCTGAAAGCTACGGTGAACGGCAAGATAAACGGCGTCGAAGTGTTGGGGAAGCAGAGCAACGATAAACTTAACGGTAAACTAACGGAGATGATGGAGAGTTTGTTAGGGAGAAACGACGCCGTTTCGAAAAATGAGAACAACAAGCAGGAGATCTCGTCGTTTCAGTCTCTCTGCGCTCTGCTCTGGCGCGCGATCACTCGAGCGAGGAAGCTCCCGAGCGCCAAAACGACGACGTTTCGTATGGCTGTCAACGTCCGCCACCGTCTGAACCCGAAATTGAATCCGTTATACTTCGGAAACGCGATACAGAGCGTTCCGACGTTCGCGACGGCGGAGGAAGTTCTGTCTCGGGATATCCGGTGGACCGCCGATCAGCTCAACCAGAGCGTTGCGGCGCACCAAGACGGGAGAATCAGAGCCGTCGTGGCGGAGTGGGAGGCGAATCCGAGGTGTTTTCCTCTCGGGAATGCCGACGGAGCGTCGGTGACGATGGGGAGCTCGCCGAGGTTTCCGATGTACGAGAACGATTTCGGGTGGGGGAAGCCGGTGGCGGTTAGAAGCGGGCGGGCGAATAAGTTCGACGGGAAGATCTCGGCGTTTCCGGGGAGAGATGGTAATGGGAGCGTTGATTTGGAGGTGATCTTAGCGCCGGAGACGATGGCTGGGATAGAATGTGACGTGGAGTTTATGCGGTATGTGTCCAAAGTTTGATAGAATGTGACGTGGAGTTTGCTGAAATAACGTAACGGTTTGCTTTCCCTCTCTTTTTTTTTTCTTCTCTCATTCTAAAGAACTTAAATGATGTAATATTGTAACGTTAACTGTAATTTGACTGAATAAAAACTGTTATACATATGTTACATTACACTTTGGTTCTAGTAAAGTTTTTTATTTGATTAAAGAAACGAGTTCTTGATGAACTGATAATAGAATAGAGATAGTAACATAGTGAATACGAATGTAATGAGCAATCTGTCAACAAAATAATCATATCATAAAATGATCACTTCATGAACTATCGAGAACAAATGAAATAGGCAGGTTCGCAAATTCCCTCTCTGGAAGGGCACGAGGCTTAGTCAAATAGAACGGGGTTGCGCTGCTTGATGCTCTGATAAAAAAGAATCAGTGGAACTATCCTGGTTGGTATGACTGAATATGCACTAGAAATGTCAGGTATTTGCTCTCCCAATAGAGAACGACGTCGGTTGAATTCACACTGTATCTAGTTTGTATTCAGGAATCAGGACGATGCAGCAGGCTTATCATGAGGAATGCACAAAAACCTCAAGAAACTCAGGATCTTCGTCAGTTGTCAAAACCATTCTTCATCATGTGGATCATTTTTGTTTGTCCACCAAATAGTTGTATTTGTTCACACCACTGTCGTCAAATCTTGATGCTTCCTCACCCATGCAAAACTCAAAGAGGAGATGTGTAATCATATAATCATAGGCTAATCAATTTGGCTTAGTTCATCAAAGATTTTGTTGCGAAATGTGGGATAAAATGAACATGAAAGCAGCACTCCACAGTCCACACCATCATCATCCCCATCTTCAAAAACAACTCTTAATGTTGCAAAGGATAGAGTACTAATCTCTAGATCTACATAGGATTGTGGAAAAGCCAAACTAAAAAAAAAAATTGAAGAGTTCAAATTTTTTTTTTAAAGATTTAGTATTTTTTGAAGTGGATCCAAATTTTCTTTTGATGGGTTTAGAATAGTTTCTAAAGGGTCCAGATTTTTTTTTGAATGATTCATAATTTTTTTTTTGAATAATCCAAAGTTTTTAAGGATCCAGATTTTAGAAAAAAATGTTTGGCAGAACTAATATTTGCAACTCCATATAGTATAAGGGGTATACTGGTATAATATCATAAATTTATTGAAATGTAGATTCGATTGTTGATACACAAATGAGAAAAAATCCACCAAAGGAAGTATTTTTGGAAATGATATCACACCAAAAATGCAAAAAAAAAAAAAGAGTTTCAAAAAAAACATTGATCCAGTGGTTTAATGGAGGGTTCATCAATGCTTCTATACCTGGAGGTTTGGGGTTCAAACCCCAGAAAACACGGCATAGAATGATGTAGTTAGGCGTGTATTCTCACAAGATGGTAGAATTATCAGCTGTAAAATCGTCTATGTAATATTCTCATCGTTGTAATAGTATAATTAATCAGACGTTCAAAAAGAAAAAGAAAAATAGAGTTTCCTTTTTACCATCATCTTCCCACATTAACCCAAACACGCAACTCAAGAAAGACGGGCTTATCCAACTAACTACAAGGTCCAACTCCGTAATAACACTCAAATAATAAGGGTACATCAGTCAATTACCATCCATACATACACAACACACTCTCTTCTTCAAACGTCAACTGCGATCGCGTGTGAAGTTTTGATTCTCCCGTCGTCGGAACGAAAGTTTCTTCAACATACAGATCATAAGCTCCTTTTGATTTCCTCCGTCGTCGTCGGAAGCTTTTCGTGACGATTCCGATTTGAATCGGAGAGGTAATCCGGATCTGGTAGCGGTTCCGATAGATAGGGATCATGTCGGACGCTTTGATAAATGGATTGGCGGGAGCTGGTGGTGGGATCATTGCTCAACTCCTCACTTATCCTCTCCAAACTGTAAACGATTCTCTCCCAATTTTTTGTGTGGATGATCGTCGTTTTGTGACTCTTGTGTTTGTTTCGTTGAAAATTAGGTAAATACGCGGCAACAGACGGAGAGGGATATCAAGAGGGAGAAGAGGAAGCTTGGAACGATCGAACACATGTGTCAGGTTAATCTCATGATCTAAGGATTTGGCTGGTTTAGGGAGATAGTTTTTTTAAAAACATTTAGCTCTGGTTTTTCTTGTATTGTAAGGTTGTGAAACAAGAAGGATGGGAGAGGTTATATGGTGGATTGGCTCCCTCTCTCGCTGGAACCGCAGCGTCACAGGTTACATTCTCTTTGCAGTTAGCCATTTTGTGGTTTGAAAGTTTTAAAATAGAGGAAAGAAACTTGCTCACACTCTTTTTTTTTGAGGTTTAGGGTGTGTATTACTATTTCTACCAAGTGTTTCGGAATCAAGCTGAAGCTGCAGCTCTTCTACAGAGTAAGAAAGGGTTGGGTGATGGTACTGTTGGGATGTTTTCTTCACTTCTAGTGGCTGCCTTTGCTGGGTAAAATAACATTCCCTTTTATGTTATTTTCTTCGTATATGATTAGAATGGTTGATTTAGTTAGCAATGCCATACATAAGCTTTTTGAATGGTTGGTTTTTCGATGCAACACGCAGTTTTATCATTGGCTGTCTGGAGTATAGGTTATGAGCTGTGGTCAGATTGATGATGCTATCATCTCTTGCTCTTATTTAGTGTTGCATGTTTACTGGACCTAGCTTTTTAGTGGCAGGTCCTATAGTCATCTAGCTGTTTTGTTTGTTTGACTGTAAACTTTGGTTGCCAAAGCTAATTAAGCATCGATAGTTCAGTATTGTTAATCTGTTGTTTCTTTTTCTTTTGCTTCTGCTGTCTCATTTGAAGTATGATAGCTCTTTCTCTGTGCAGAGTAGTTAACGTTCTTATGACGAATCCAATTTGGGTGATTGTCACACGCATGCAGGTATAAGTGGCTTCATATACACCAACATAAATTTCTTCTTGTGTTGCTTAATCGATTTCTTTGTATTTTATAATATAGATGTATTCATCTTCAAAGTTTTATTTTTGCATTTAATCATTGAATCTACGAGTTTTCTTGTCCTCTTCCCTCTTCATTTTTTTCTTGAACACTTGTATATAATGCAGACCCACAGAAAAATGCCAAAAGATCAAAAGACAGTCTCTGAGTCACCTCCTTCTGATATAGAAGCTCTGGTTCCAGTTGAGCCTCGTCCGTATGGAACCTTTAATACGGTATGTGGCAGCTTCAAATTTTTACAAACCACAAGGAGTTGGCTTGACCTTATTGCAATATGAAACTGAAGCTTTTTCATATTCCAAAATCCTCTGAATACAAGTCTGCGATACATATTGAACAATGTTTCAGATTCGAGACGTTTACGATGAAGCTGGAGTAACTGGCTTCTGGAAAGGTGTAATTCCGACATTAATCATGGTATGTGAACTTAGTCTTTTGAAGCTTCTCCGTTATAGTTTGTGTAGTCGCATTTTCTAACTGTTAGGGTGTCTTTTTTGATGAAAAAATTTACAGGTAAGTAATCCATCAATGCAATTTATGTTGTACGAGACAATGTTAGCAAAGCTGAAGAAGAATCGTGCCTTGAACGGTAGCAAAAACGTGACGGCTTGGGAGGTTCGGACTCAACTATTTTGCCTTTGATTTTTTATAAGACGTTTCTTGCTTGTTTATACTTCTTGTTTCCCCATAGACATTTCTTCTTGGAGCTGTGGCTAAACTCGGAGCTACAGTCACAACTTATCCTCTCTTGGTTGTAAAGTCAAGACTTCAAGCCAAACAGGTCACAACAGGAGACAAAAGACACCAGTACAAAGGTTTATGTTTCCTCTTGTTGTTATAAGATTATCATTAAAGGCCACGAAACTCATATTCCTAATCCATGGATGGTTTATTTACAGGAACTCTGGATGCGATTCTGAAGATGATTAGATATGAAGGGCTTTACGGATTTTACAAAGGGATGAGTACAAAGATTGTTCAGAGCGTTTTAGCTGCTGCGGTTCTGTTCATGATCAAGGAAGAGCTTGTGAAGGGAGCTAAGCTGTTGCTCTCAAACGCGACTTCTAGCAAAGTGAAGTCCAAGCCTTCTTGAGGCTCTCAATCAAGCTAGGATTTTAGTAATAAGATTTGAATAACAAAACAAGTAGATTTAAATTAAACTTCCAATAATTTCTTGATTAGTTATCACACAATCAGGAATGTTGTGTCATCATGTCCTGATGCTTGCAAATTGATAATTGTATTTTCCTCCAAAACTATTGGTTTGTATGATCCTCTATCTTAAAATTTAGCAGATTGATTGTGTTTTTTATATGATTTTTTCCCTTAATTAAATGATAATAATCCTCAATACATTTGGATCCAATCTAATTGTATACAGAAACAAATCTTCAGCATTTTAAGTTAAAGACTTTAAAGTAGTCAAATATACATGATGAAAAAGATTATTTTGACAAAAAGAGGGTTTAATTAGTTGACATAAAAGGTTTAAAATGTTAAATTGACTATCAAAAATAACAAATCACAAATAATTAACTATGCAAATTTGGAAATAAATAAAAGTAATTAACTCTCTAACTATGCAAAATAGAACGTGATCATTTAAAAGCCCATTACGGCCCAGTTTATGTATAGATGAAAACGACATCGTCGTATACAAGTGTTGACTGAAACGTCTCCATCAATATATTTTCTTCCTCCTATACGCCTGAGAAACTGCTACACTCTGTGTTCTCGAAGAGCACTTGAATTTTCGAAGAGACCTAGATCTGATCTAATCCGATCCGCCATGGAAGAGAAGAAGGTAGAATCGACGAAGAAGGATGTTAAGAAGGTCAATCTATTGGACCACAACTCCATCAAACACATGCTCGACGAGTCCGTCTCCGATGTAAGCCAATATTCTCAGATTATTCTCCGTATTCTCCGATCTGTTAATTATGAACCTTCATTTGTGTCCTTTGTGTAGATCGTTACGAGCCGTGGATACAAGGAGGACGTGAGGTTGAGCAACATGAAGCTGATCTTAGGGACGGTTATCATCGCGGTTGCTCTCGTTGCACAGTTCTACAACAAGAAGTTTCCGGAGAATAGAGATTTTCTTATTGGATGCATTGCATTATATCCTTTCTTTTTGAATATCAAATCGTTGCTTTGAATTTGCTTAATGCCTTGTGCTTAATTATCATTTGATTCTGTGGACTTAGCAGTTAAGGTTTCTAGGGATAAGATATATTAGGAGATTCTGGACCAGTAGGCCCGTTTTCAAACCATGTAATTTAACTTTTATCTTGAACATGTGATGTCTTAAGATTCCTAGTAGGTAATCTAAAAGTTATAACCAGTAGGCTAACTCCTTGAGGATTTTTAGGCTCTTATTGATTAGATAAGTGTAATGTGGCTTGATTTCCTTGTGTGTTAGCGTTGGATTTTGAAGAGAAACCATTTTGTAGTAGAGTGTGATGAATAAGATGTGTGGGTTCTTTGACTATATGGTAACGTATGTAGTGTTGAATGGGGTGATGCAGCTGATTATGTACACCAAGGAGAAGAATGCTATATTGTTCACCTATCCTCTTGAGGTTTGTTTCTCTTGACTTTTGAGAGTAGATTTGTTTTGACCAAAAAGCAATCTTGGATTAACTTTGTCGATGCTACAAGCCTACAACCATTCTAGTTCTGTGATTTAGGTGCCTAATGTACATAGTTCCCCCTCATATACTGTATTTTGGTCTCCTGTGTTGAACTCTCGCATTCCTTTTGTTTTTTGAGGAACTAGAATTGTGTGTCTGACATGTTAAGTAGTATTGTATGCGTATGCACCTTGGTTTTGGGAATTTGAGTCTTTAGGAAAAGCTGCATCTCAGTGTTTAGTTTTGATAAAGTCTTGGCAATGTGGCTCTGGAAGTTCTCGTTTCTTTTGGTGCTGTCTTGTTCTTTGAAACATAGTTGTTCAACTAAGTGGGTGGTTTTGGGAATGTAATGTGGGCTGTTTTGCTTCTCATTTTTCACCAGCTTGAAGAAGTTTAATCTTCCATAGTTTGTATCGTTGAGGATAAGAGCTCCTCCATTTTAATTTGTTGAAATCATTTCAACTGATGCAGTTATTTGGTTTGCGGGTTTATTTCATTCTGAATTTCTGATACTATCAAAACACACACAAGGGCTTTAATGTTCTCTAGTTGATAGGCATGCACACTTTCATTTGTTTTGCTGCATTTCGAAAAATGTTTTATTTAGCTCATCATTTGCTACTACTGTATGTTCAACAATCTTAAAATGGGTTGGTTGAATACGTAGGGATCATTCACCAGCACTGGCTTAGTTGTCTCTTCAAAGCTGCCGAGGTTCTCTGATGAGTACACTCTCACCATTGACAGTGCTGATCCAAATTCAATCTCAGCTGGGAAGTCAGTCCAATTCACCAAAAGTGTCACCCAATGGTCTCTCTCTCTTTCTCTACATTACTATCTGTTCATCATTAGCTCTAGCTAATGTCAGTATGTTTATTTGTGTTTGTTACACAGGTTTACGAAAGAGGGAGTTCTTGTTGAGGGTTTGTTCTGGAAAGACGTGGAAGCATTAATCAAGGACTATGCAAAAGAAGAACCAAAGAAGAAGAAATGATGATAATGATATATTGAAGAAAGTATGTTCTTAAAACTCCCAAATATTTCGTTTTAGATAATTAAACTACTTTTGTTTAGAGACGCCATAAACTTTTCTTTTGCTATAACCAAATTTTCGAATTAATCTGAGATTGTCGTTCAATAATTCATATTAGCTTTTAACTATAAAAACATATGATTGTGGGTAGCGTATATCATATAGCGAAACCACGTTATTTCATGTAGGAAACCACTTTTTCTATTAACGATAGAAAATGTTATCCTTAACCCAAAGAAGCTTTAATTAAGCTAAATAACAATGATCAAGCTGTATTTAAATCATCCATTGGATAATCAATCAAACACATCCTGTTAATATTCTGTTTATATTGTCGTTTAATAAAAGAGATCTGGCTTTACTAACATAAATCAATATAAAATTGTTGTCTAACTTAACACACACACACACTTGTATTTGTATATTATATGATCAAAAATCAAAATGCTATTCTGTGCCCACTTAATCCCAAAAAATAAAATAAAAAAACATTATCCAACAACAACAAAAAAAACAGACGAGATTCTCTTCTATATATAGATTTCTCTTGCCACTCTCTCCAACTCCACTCTCCATCGAATCTTGACGACGAAGATGGACGATCCCGTCACCAAGAAGCTCAAATCAACCCCCGGGACGGTAGATGACGTCATCTCGATACTCATGCCATACGTAACCGACCCCAAAGACCGCGCATCCGCATCCCTAGTCAACCCGTTATGGTTCAAAGCAGACTCCGAGACGAGAGAGCACGTGACCATAGCCTTCTGCTACGCCTCTTCCCCTCACCGTCTCAGCCGAAGGTTCCCGAATCTGAGGTCTCTCAAGCTCAAAGGGAAGCCACGTGCCGCTATGTTCAACCTCGTCCCCGAGAATTGGGGAGGGTTTGCGACCCCTTGGGTTAACGAGATTGCCTTGTCGCTGCGGAGGATCAGGTCTGTGCATTTCAGGAGGATGATTGTGAGTGATTTGGATCTTGATGTTTTGGCTAGAGCGAGGGGTGATGAGCTTGAGGTTTTGAAGCTTGATAAGTGCTCTGGGTTCTCTACTGATGGGATCTTGAGTGTCGTTAAACACTGCAGGTAACTACAAGATTGATTCTTTGTATGTTAAAAGATTGTTTGTTTAGATTAATTGGGAAAGGTGGAAACTTTGGTGGCTCTTACTTGTTTAAAGGACATTACTTTATTTGGTTTCTTTAGTTAGAACAAGATTGTTGCATTTTGGGTTTCTTTAGCTGAATTGGGTAAGTAGCTACTTGTATAAAGGACGTTACTTTATTAGATTTCTTACTTCACGTTACACTTGTGGTTATGCATAGATAGTAGAATCAATCAACCGCCTTTTACTTCTTTGGTGAACTTTACTACTTTTGTTTATGTGTGATATTAGCAAAAAAAATATGATTGATTAATTGATTATATCTGTCATCTGCAGAGAGTCATGTTTATAATCTCGTTCTTGCATTAGGTCCCATGGAGTATAAGGAATCAATACTATATCCATGTTCATAATCAAGTTGTTTACATAGTAGTGTTGACTTGGTTATATTCATGTCATCTGCAGAAAGATCGTCGCTTGGAGTTTATGATTATTTAATGTTGTTGTTGCATCCTTGATTTGGTTGTTGCTGTTGTGTATAAGAAGTCTTAAGTTGAAAATAGAATTTATTTTGAGTTGTTTTCTCACTTTGGTTCTGTATGTTTCCTCTGAACAGGAAGATCAAAACGTTGTTGATGGATGAGAGTTCTATTTTTGAAAAAGATGGTAAATGGCTACACGAGCTTGCTCTCCACAACACGTCTCTCGAGGTTTTAAACTTTTACATGACTGAGTTAACAATACTCAGCCGCCAAGACTTGGCAATGATAGCTAGGAATTGCCACCGCTCTCTGGTCTCTGTGAAGGTCGGTGAGCTTGAGATGTTGGATCTAGTCGGCTTCTTTAACGCTGCAGTTAACCTTGAAGAGTTTTTTAGTGGCGCCTTGAATGAAAATGTTGGGGACCCTGACAAGTACACGAACCTGACTTTCCCTCCAAAGCTTTGCCGTCTGGGCCTCTCTTACTTGGGAGCAAACCAAATGCCAATAGTGTTTCCATTCGCTGCACAAATCCGGAAGCTGGATCTGCTCTATGCGTTTCTCGGAACTGATGATCATTGTAAACTAATCCAAAAGTGTCCTAATTTGGAAGTTCTTGAGGTAAACGACGAATTCACTTTCTTCTTAGAATGTGGTGTATATATATAGAAAACTGACAATGTTATTGGTGTGTATCTCAGACGAGGAGGAATGTAATCGGAGATAAGGGTCTAGAGGCTCTTGCGCAGTACTGTAAGAGGTTGAAGCGGCTGAGGATTGAACGGGAAGAATATGAACAAGGGATGGAGGACGAAGGAGGTTTAGTCACACAAAGAGGATTAATAGCTTTGGCTCAGAGCTGCCATGAGCTTAAATACTTGGCGGTGTATGTCACAGACATAACCAACGAGTCTCTCGAAACCGTAGGCACACATCTGAAAAACCTCATCGACTTCCGCCTCGTCTTGCTCCACCAGAAAAAGAAAATAACAGATTTGCCACTAGACAACGGAGTCAGATCACTGTTGATGGGATGCAAGAAACTCAGACGGTTTGCGCTCTATCTCAGACAAGGCGGCTTAACGGACGTGGGGTTAAGATACATAGGAGAGTACAGTCAAAACGTGAGGTGGATGCGTCTTGGTTACGTTGGTGAAACAGACCAAGGACTGATGGAATTTGCAAGAGGGTGTCCGAAGCAGCTGCAGAAGCTGGAGATGAAAGGATGTTGCTTCAGCGAGAGAGGAATCGCTGCAGCGTTGATGAAGTTACGTTCGCTGAGATACTTGTGGGTACAAGTGTATGGAGCTTTAGTGACGGGACAAGATGTGAGGGTGATGTCTAGACCGTACTGGAATATAGAGCTGATTCCGGATAGAAAAATCCCGCAAGTGGATTGGATGGGAGAGGTAAGGGATGTGGAGCAGCCGGCTCATATACTTGCGTATTACTCACTGGCTGGTCAGAGAACAGATTGTCCACCAACTGTTATGAGTCCTGAGGGAGCTATGATGATGTTTGATGATGCAAATCAGGTTTGTACATAAAAGATTTTGTTTTAGTCTTCCATGAACGGTGTGTAATGGATTCTTTTACTTGTTATAATATAAAAATCATATATTCACAAAACTCAAATTATGGAAACTCCTTCCTTCGTCTATGGAAATGTTTAATACAATATAAGTTTAGGGTTGTTCTTCTCCTTCCTCACCCAGCTTCTCTTTAATGGCCAACACAAACCGAGTAACACTTTTTCTCGTCTCTCAATCTCTCTGAGTCACTTTTTCAGTTGCTTATGACTCTGTGTAACTTTTTTTTTTGCAGGCTTGCGTACTAAAAGTCGATCTAAATAGTTGTTCCGGTTGCCCAAACAACGCAAAGGCAAAGCTACTGAGTCTCTCCGGTATGAAAAAAAAAAAGGATATAAAACTTAAAATAGAAGATTTCTATGTTTAAAAACACTTTTGTTTCCTATGAATATATATATACAGGCGTGACAGCAGTGGAGTATAACGAAGAAGAAGGGCTCATGACAATCACAGGAGACGTGGACCCTATGACTCTCGTTCAGAAACTTACAAAATGTAAAAAAAAAGCAGAGCTTGTGTCTGTAAATTACATGCCTGATGTTGATCTCACAAGCAGCGATGAAGAAGACGAAGAAGATGAGGATGAGGATGAGGATGAAGACGACACTTGTTCTGATGACACTTGTTCAAATCCTGATCCAAGACCAATGGAACGTGCGTCGCAAGTAAATACGAGGCCCACTAATACTATAAAGAAGAAGGAAGGGATGCTAAGGAAGTATCTTATGTTAGGGTGTTTACGCAGGAAACCAAAAGTTGTAGAGCCTTTTCCATTGGCAAAGAGAATGTTCGGGTCAACAAGGTTTGGGAATGGTACTTTTGATCATGGCAATGCTAGGCGACCTCCTCCACCTACGTTGAATCCACTTTTACAATATCAAATGATGATGCAACAAGGACAACCACAGTTTCAGATGAATGGATCAGTACCACCGATGCATATGAATATGATCCAGCAGCAGCAGTCACAAAATACACCATATCATTGGCAAATAGATCCACAATACAAAGCTATGTTCCCACAGCCACAGCCACTGAAACCTGATCCCAAAATGTCGGCCAATAGTGGTCTACATTACTCCGGCAAGTGATTCCCGACCGCTTTGAGCCCACCTAGCTAGGCTGCTACTACTTATTCTGTTGATTGTGTCCTTAAACGTTATTATTATACTAAAGCAAACGAATGTCAATTTTAGTGGACTTGTTGTTCTCCTTTTGCACTGAACATTTATTTTTTAATACTCATTCATGTTAAGATAACAAAAGATATGTCGGATTCATATAACCAAACTCCGATGAAACAGATCAAACTCTGTTTTGTGATGTGATGAGATCGCATACGAACCTGTTCTTGAGGTATATTGTGTGAGAGACCTGTGAATGTCTCTTTCCGCATCACTACAAATATCTGGTTATTAAAAGCTCATCATACCTTGTCCATCATCTTGTCCATCAACTTCAAATTAAATAAAAAAGTAAAAAACAGATTTGGAAGTGCAGTTAGTTCATAAGACTATAGAAACATACGGAGGATAAGAGGTCTAATCTCATCACGCTCCTGACGCATAGATGACTCTTTGTACAAGGAAACAAGCTCATCCACCAATCTGAAGGTCCAAAAAATATCATGAGATGACTCCTTTTTTGTAAGAAGAAAAGAAGAGTTTGTCCTAAAGTTCTGTATAGTGTTTAGAGGGGTTTCACTTTGGGATCACAGGTGAGTTTGTCAACCTCACAACCGTCTCCACTCTCTCAAGAACCTATAGCGTTTTCCACAGATACTAAACTTTTCATTTGTCTTCTTAAGAAACATCAAAACGTTTGCCGCCTAGCAAGAAAATGGGTTGAGCAAAACACACAACAGTTTCAAGTTATTGATGATTCAGTTCAGACCTGAGTCACAATTCACTTGAATGCTGACTCAGCTGTGAATGAGAGGCTTTCTAGATGGCTAATAATGATCATTCCTAGATGGTAAGCTTTACTACTTTGTATAACCTTTTGTTTCGTTTAGATTCTGATGTGTTATAAATACAAAAAAAAAAAAGCTTTGGTATAGGAAAGAAACCTTGCCTAACAAGTACAATAAAGAATAATACAAATTACTATAAATGAAATTACAGATCTGCAAAAACATGGAAGTTCTTAGAGTCAAGGGCAATGAGTCTAACAGCTGCAATAGCAGCAGCAGCAGACATCAAACTGAAAAAGACAACATTAAGCCAATGCCATAGCTTTTGCACAGGACTAAGCTTATTGTTCATAGCCTTATAGTACATGTGGTTAGCCAGAATGAATGTAAGAGGGAATGTGCTCACTGCACCAGTGAGACTCATGAAGTCCCCAAGGAACGGCAAGAGTGCTGAGATAAGCGTGCTAACCGCAATGTACCCTCCTCTAGCCATGATCCTGAACAATAAATTCTTTATAGCTAATGGGTTTCCTTTTATCCCAAACCTTGTGTCCATGTACTCATATGTTGGACTAGCAAATATCTACAACAAAAGAAGGAAGAAATGAGCAAAACTTTTTTTAAGAGTTCAATACAAGTTAAGAAGCATAGACTTACATGTAAAGAGATAACAGATTGAAGTATAGCTGAGATGTTAGCAAGGGCTTTGACCCAGAGTGGGCCGTTAACACTGTTGAGCAGATAGGTGGAGGTTGAGGATCCATAAGCCCAGTATCCGATGAATGTAACTGCGTACATTGGTAAGACACCAGCTGTGAACTGAAAGTATAGAGCCTTCATCATGTTTTTCACAACTGGTTGTCTCACTGTTGCCTGAATCTCTGGAAGCATCCCTGTGTTGAATGCAAAAACCAGGTTTGCTGCTGCTCCTGTGATGGTAAAAATTTTGTTTAATGATGATCCTTGTATCTCATAATCTCTTGCAGGTGCTGTGACTCCTACAAAAAACAACAAAAAGAATAGCCAAGAATCATATTTATCAGTAGCTATATTAAGATCCATTAGTATAGCTAAAATCTTGATCATCATTTAAGTTATACCGTCTCTAACTGATAGGACAATCGCTACAACGATGTAGATGAGGCTGAGGATGGTGGAAACTGCAAGCCAGACCCCTAGAGCAGATAAATGAGGGATTCCAATGGCGAAAACCGCACATATCAGACCAGCAATGGCTATACAATGAGGTAGTTTGATGGTATGATCATCCCTGAAAAGCACATAAACAGCCTGCAAAAACAGAGCACACACCCCAAAATAACTATACTTGGCTCACACGGAATCAAGAATCAAGAAGCAAGAGGGGAGATTATTTAACTACCTTCAAGGCAGAACCAGCTAGTATGATATATCCACAGTTAATCATGAAAAGATTAACATACTGCAATCCCCATGTAAGGTGATAAGCCTTTCTACCTGATAAAGACAATTCAACGAGTGTGACAACAGAGGAGAGAAACAGAACAAACATAAGAGAGGTTGTTTGGTGTTTTTTTATACCGTAGATGAAGCCAGCAAGGTCTCTATAACGAATGTGTCTCCTGCCACCAAACTCATGAAGCTTGGCTACAAGAGTGTTTGCATAGAGAGAGATTGCAGTAGCGAGAAGAAGACCAACCACACCACCAATCCAACCTAAAGGAACCATTACTGTTCCTGAATATCCCAACACATATGCGCTGTTTATACCCGTCGTTAGAACAAACGCCACCTGAAACCATGAATCTGTACCATTCCACAAGATTATACTTAGTTTAACCCCCAAAATTTGATTTCAAGTTACTAATTACAAGACCACAAAAAGCAGAGTTTTTGAGAGCAACTTAAACTATAACATTTTCAGATTAATGAAAGAATATTTTGAAGAAAAAAGTAATCATCCGAACCATGAAAGAAACTTTTTATTGTCTTTTTGTCAGAATCAAATTTTGGAAGACATGGTAAATATCAGAAGTCAGAACCATCAATAATACAACATTTTGAGGAAATGTCACCGTTAAAATCATCAGAGCCAACATTTTGAAGAAATAGCCATTGTGAAAATCATGAAAACATTGTTTTTTTTACTCTTCCTAGTGAAAATATTTTTCATAGTAAAAAGGAAAAATAACAAAAAAAAAAAAGAGGAGGGGAATATAAATTTACAAACCGCTGCTAATTTGGTGAGCAGTGTCAGGGATTTCAATATCAACATCATTGTCTCCTCTGCCATTAACTTTGCGATTCATAGCTTCGGTGGCGTTCATGGTTCTTACGACAAAAGGCTCTTGTGTCTCTGCAGCTAAGAGCCTTTGCCTTTCTTCTCCTCCTCCTCTTTCCTCAGCCACATGAAAGAGTTTTGAGAAAGCCAGCTTTTCTGATTTATATAGAATCTGTCTTTTTTTTTTATAGCGATTTTTTCTCTCCTTCACTGAAAACAAAATAGAATCTAAATCAGTCAAAGAAAAAGAGAGATCGATGAAGAAAAGCTGGATTCTTCTTTGTTAATTACGCACATAACATTGTAACACATTTTGGTTGGTGTTGTGAGCTTTTGAGGTCTCAAGTCTCTCTCTCTTGTCTGAATTTTTTGGTTTTGCATGAGATCCTATAAGAATGGCCAAATTTTATAAATAAAAAAAAGTTATAACTAAACAAATATGTTTTGCAAAAAAAATTATTCTTTCGAGAAAAACGTTCCTTGACATTATTGGTGAACAAAACTCTTAAATGTTCTGTAAAGTCCAGAAATTAAATACACTTTATTTTTAATTTTTTAATTTTTATCTAAAATTCAAAGTTATTTAAAACAAACAAAAAAATTGGTAGTTCTACTATATTTGAGAAAATCTTTTTTTTTGAGTTTTCATCGAAATTATATAAATATTGACATGTTCTCCAGAGCAAGTTGACTGGGGCCATGCAATCTAACTATTGGCTGAAGTTAATGGCAGAAGGGCACAAATTCCAACAAATCTTAAACCACTTGGAATTGCCAACTATTCTCATGAAGGTTACAAAAACCTGTGTTCCTACATTTTCAAAGTTCAGCTAATTGACATTGGTTGATCCTCGTGTAGTTGCTTGATTTACATGTTCTAGATATTAAATTACAAGTATACAAAAAATAACCTTCCTCTAACGTACGCATATATATGTTATATGATAATTCATAATTGAAAGGAATCTTATATATTAAAACAGAAGTCGCAACCTAGATTCATGTGTGATTTTTAAAAAAATGGACTATTCATTAAAAAGATTATGAAGATTATCAAATGTTACATAATTTAATGATAATATCTTTAAATATCTTTATTTTTCTATTTAAAATACAAATGAAATAAATCCAACAAAATCTTTTTGGCATCTTTTTAAATTGTATTACCATAATATTATCCCATATATTTATCTTTTATTCGAAATATAAATGTTTTTGTTTAAGATATTAAAATTTATCTAGATAGCATTATACATTTCTAAATCCTAAATAAAAAACTATATATTAGAGTTTAACCCACACAATTTTTTTTCATTTTATAAATATAACACTTTGATAGTATTATAAAAAAAATAAATATATGATTTACATTTAATGTTATATATTATATAACTCTATAATTTAGTTGTTTAAGTTCTTTATTCTTCATTATTAATATATAGTAATTTGTTTTATATATTTTAATTTATATTCTTATTGATTGTTATTACTAAATAATATATTTTTGAGTTTGATACATAAATTATAATTTAAAATAATTAAATTATAATCTTCTTTAATATAGAGTTTTAATTTCTGGAATTTGCATACAATACATTTTAAAATTTATTTAGATA